ATTTGTTGATTGATAGGTTCTTGGTTGATTAATTTCCGGAGTTTCTTAGTGTTAAATCTTTCTAACAGGTATGTCATCTTCAGTATGGAACTAGCGAAGCAGGCAGTTGTTGATAAAAGTCTGCAGCAATCTGCTGTAAATGCTGTTCCTGACGCCCAGTGCAAGTTTCTGACCCATAAGGAGGAAAATCTGGATCTTGTTTTCAGTGCTAAATGAAGCAGATGGTTAAGCTGATCTCAGAGTGACGAATACGTTTTGCCTTTTGACTCTGGATGACTTTGACATCCTTATCAGTGCCGTCACCTGTAGTTGAAAAATTTCCTCACTGCTAGATAATTCAAGAAAGTGACCTCTTTCTGATTTCTCCCGTTAATAGCGATTGGCGCTTGCTGTTGGTTGGTGGATTGTCTTCATCCCCACTATCCTATCTATATTCACTCGAAATCCTGTCTCTGTCGCCTGCCTCTTCTAATAGTTTGTTGGCTTTCTCTCGTAAGTCTTCGAGTTTCTCTGACATTAGAAATAAGTAATCTGCGAAATCCAGATCTTCTAGAGTCTTATCATTGGTCTAACTTATTCTTGTCTTCTCGCTCCCCACGTAGGGTGTGCCGTATGATCTATTATACCGCAATCAGGAACATCAACGGTGGTAGTAGGAAACCTTGTTTTACTCTTGCGTTCACTTCGAACGCCTCACTGAGTTTTCCGTTGTGGATCACCCGACATGTGGCATTGTCATTTAGCCAGCTGTTGAGTGAGGTTGATAAAGATTTGGAGCACTTTACTATGTAGTGTTGAATTTGATTTTAAATTATTTCACGGTCAACACTGTCAAAAGTCATTTCAAAGTCAATAAAGCTGAGATAGAAGTGCGACTGCTATCCCGTGCTTTTTTCGATGATGTTGCATAGAGTTACGGTTTTTTGAGCTTACGATTTACTTCTCCTAAATTCAGTTTGTTATGGGTGTAGTTCTGCATCCAGTACAAAGATATTATACCGTTTAAAATATGTAAGGTGTAATCAATCACCGATATTTGCATTCTGTTTCTCATCTTGATGAGTATAATATGGAGAGTGATATTGAGGTTGGGCATAGAGTGCTAGGTAAGGAAAAAATTCAGTTAATGAAGTTATGAGGCTACAAAGGTTGAGATAGCCAGGACACATGTTCCGCATGCCAAGCCACTGCCTTCCTGTGAAAGCACTGTTAGCTAACTTACGATTAAGGGTTATGAAACCGATACTTGGCATCAAACCATAAAGTCTCTGTGATTAATTTTAGACTGCCAGATTGAGTCCCTCAAGACGACAAAAACTGACATATGAAATCTGTTGGCAACATGGCTATAAGTCGTTCGCAGTGGAGCGGATTCATTCACTCTTTATGAACTCTCAGATACACTAAATCCTACCGTTTTTCACGCATTTTTTTCTCTGTACATTTCTGTTCGTTATAGTTCCCTTAAATTTCTTCTTTCTCTGTTCTCTCTACCTTCGTGTGTTATTTCGATTGTGGTGACCTGAACTGCTGCAGGGTTCTGTGCCGAAATTTAATCAATCAGCCGTTTTTGGTGTATAGTGGCTAACAGAAGAATCCAGAATTCACATTCCATCCTGTTTTTAGGTCTAAAATGTTAGATGTACCTACATCCAGAATGAATGATTTTGTTCCCAATGATACTAAGATCCAGTGCATTCAGTTGATGAGTCTCAGAGAGGAGGAAGTTCTGGATTCTACTTTTAGCTACGAGGGATCAAATATAGGCGAATGTCATTCACATATCGACTGAAAAATGATGAGTGCTGAAAAGTCATCTCATGCTGTTTGTTGTCTACCCATGAAAACATACTCAAAATCCTGCCAGGGATCGAATACAGAATAACCGCGTTTTGAAGAGATAACATTACCATTAAAAGCACGCCTTCATATATTTTTCAGTTTTCGATACATTCGGACAACGGCTGATAGTTACCTATCCCTGTGGTTAAGATTTCTTATCCGAACTTCGACAAATCCATGTGTAAGATTTCTAATGATGAGTATTGAATCAGCATCAATCTCTACTTCACATCATAACTGTTTCGATCTTCAAAGTGGACCCTTGGTGTCACACACTCAAAACTCACCTAATTAAACGTAAGCGCTATGCAATGCTGCCTACTGACAATCAGTCCCTTATGTAACAACGATGTGTGACGAATAGATATTTTGTATTGATTTCCAGCTGTATGAATTATCATAAAATACTCAACGATATGTTAGGTTACATCATTAGTCACACAAAGCTATGATTTAACAGTCACTTACTTAACAGGTTGTAGGGTACGCGTCAACCAGGGCACTTAAGCATCTTTAAAAAAGTAACATTATACTGAAAAACATTTCAAAGAAGTAGTAGTAGTAGAAGTAAAGTGTTTAGTGAGTTTCCACTCAAAGTCGAAGCTTAATCACTGATACACTGTGACATCAGATCATGAAAATTACATAGTATCTGACAGACATTTCTGAAGTATCTCTTCCATGATATTATTGATTTCTAGAGACAAGGTGTGATGAGTTTTCACCTCGAAATGCATAATTTGCACGCCAATAACGAATTTACTATTCATTTAAATGTTTCGGATTGCCATATGTGACCTGCTTGAAAATATAAGTGGCAATGAAAAAAACTTCACGATATCAGTATATACTACTAATTAACTGATATAAGTAGTTGGCTTAGTGAACGAGCTAGAATTCAGGTAATTTGAGCTGAGGCTAACCGGGTTTGATGTACCACTGATGAGGTCAGCCCCATACGAATGAAACACCCTTTCGGTGTTTAAATCATTTCTATATCACTGGTTAGCATGACTACTTCATTTGACTGGTGTCAAACTACTCATATAGATAAGTAGTATATACCATCATGCATGGAAAAGCCTTCACAAAATATGTTTGCGAATCAAACAACACAGTCATTCTACTTAACAAGCGTATGTTCAATTAAAATGGCTTTTCTCCTTGTTTTAAGTATACATAAATATCTAATCCGTTTAACTTCAAGTTTTGGTTTTAGGTCAGGGATTTATAGGCTACTTTTCATATTTTTTTAATTCTTATGAAATTTTCTAATCAAGATAACAGAGTAACTGAAATCAGGTCAATCTTAAACTGTCTTTTGTATATATCTGCGTCAGTTTAGATTACTTTCTCTATAAGTAAATATGGCGACAATTTTAAATGTGAATTGCCGCTTTTATTGATTCGGCTGGATTTTGTTTAAGTACGTGCTTGTTATTATTATTATTCCCTTGGGTTCCAAGTGGGACGTAGGACTTCAACAGCACATCTTCACTCTGGCATATTCTCTTCAGTCCTCTTCGGCTGGAAAAACGATTTCCCAACGTCTCTAGTAGCAGCACCTAACACTTGCGACAAGATCGAGAATTTTCAACACTAATGGGAAGTCGGTACCAAAAGCATTTCCAGTAGGCTGCAGTCTATAAACAACAACTACTTTAATTCTATACTAAAAATCTGATGACCATTAGGGAAGAAGGATGCAGAAGCGGTGAGAAACTCTTTCACTTCACCGAATCCCTGAATTCCCTACACTTCATAAAAGCTTACATGAAGGTTGAGAAAGAAAGGATAAAGAAGACATGATGAATGGAAGCATGTGGAAGAACATGCAGAATAACGAAGACTTAATAGATCTAGGAGACAACAAAGAGTGAATGCATCTGTGTTACTTAGGGAAACTTTGAGTTATGTTACCAATAGTCTTGGAACTAATCTATAGGACTTATTGCGTATAGGTTGAATGCTGAATTGAATGAGTTCAATCTGTATTACCGATGATATTCTCAGTTATGGCGGACTGAATTATGCAACACCTTGTGAGTGAGGAGCAAGAAGACGGGAATATGTTGGATCGATAAGAATACTCTAGAAGATCTGGATTTCACGGGCGATTTATGTCTAATATCAGAGAAACTGGAAGACTTAAAGGCGAATAACAACAAACGGCCAGAAGAAGTTGTGTATTGAATGCGGAACCTCAAGTGAATATAGACAGGTTGGAGGGGATAAATATAACGAACCAACCAACTGCAACAAGGAGGTGATATTTAGAAGCAGTCACTTCCTTCAGGTATCTCAGCAGCATTGTTCCAACTGTGGGTGTCAGCTCCGATGAGGTTGTCAAAGGCAGGCAGGATCAGAAAGGCGAGACAGACATTCGTCACTCTGAAATCAGTTTGGAAATCTCCCGCACACAGTATTCAAGAACAAGATTCGTATTTTCAACACCAATGTCAAGTCAGCAGATTCTTCCATATGAGTGAAAAACTTGCAGTGGGCATCGCGTAAAGCACATCTAACTGGCTACAGTGTGATTTTATTGACACCTACATCTACTCCATGGCGAAGATCAAATGGTCGACAAGAACAATATTGAATCAAGAACTTTTTGACTAGCCAAAACACTGGAGAAGATGGAGATGGATGAGACACATTCTGAGGAGACCATCGAATGACATCACGCGCCAGGCAACCATACAAGCGGAATTCAAATGGGAAATGACCAATTTGGCTTGGGTCTGAGTGTGACATGGAGGACATCGTGTGATGAAGAGATAAGAGACTATGGGCAGTCATGGATCCAGCTGAGGAGGATTACAGAGGACATGAGGAAATGGAGATATGCTTTTGAAGTCCTATGTTCCACTTGGAACCTAAAGGGAATAATGCTAATTAATAATAATAATAACAATATTAGGCTTTCAGATTTGTTAATTCATAGTCATATGGATGATTTTTCGGTTTGTTGGTCCTGGATAGTTGTTTCATCCTAGTTTTGGACCCTGCAGCAACAGAAAAAGCACCAATGACCAGAAAGTCCCAAACTGGGATGAAAAATCCATCCAGTACTTCCCTAACTGATGCCATTTCGTGACGACATGTCATTTATCCTCACGTGTATTTTTGTTTCTTTTCATTTGTCTTTCAAACAGGTGTTTCGTCCGCACTAGTCTTCATCAACTGGTTATCCTCTAGTCAAATAGCAAACAAACCAACAGAACAGTGACGAGACATTCTTCAAATACACACTTTTTGATATCAATAATAATAATAATAACAATATTAACCAACAAACATGAATGGATTCAATGATACTCTACGCATGAATTGTACAGTACGTTATCTATTGAATGAATCCTTTATCGACCCGATCTCAGTAGATGATCGTTATCCTAAATGTGAGCTGTATAAAAAATTTATGCCAACTATTCTATATATTTCAAGAACATTTATACTAATATGGTTAATAAGTGGTCTATTCGGCAACTTTGTCTCCTTTCTTATCTGGACATCAAAAGAACAAAGGCGTAAGAACAGTTCAGCGATTTATCTAGCTGCTTTGGCTTTAACCGATTTTATATTAATTCTCTTGTTAATTAATTATGATCTAGAAACTAGTTGGTGTATCCGTGGTATATCTACAATTAATGGCATATGTCAAATTTATCAATGTTTGTTTATATTTACACAGTTCTATTCCATCGTTCTTGTATTCGGTTTCACGCTAGAACGCTACTTGGCTGTTTGCTTCCCATTTAAACGACTTAAACTGTGTACAACTAAACGAGCATTAATCGCCGTTGTTATCTTAAGTTTATTTGTTATTGGGCCAATGTTATTCCAGATAGTGTTGTGGAATTATGAGAATGGTGAGTGTCAAATGCGTATGGATATTGCACTAGACAGGCGTATTCAAACGTTGATATCTGTACAAGAAATAGTCTTTTCACTGGTTATCCCGTTGGCTACACTCGTCTTTAATATCCTGGTTCTCTGCGAAATGAGAAGGCTGTTAAAGTCAAGTAATCTGCTGAAGATTACGAAACATCATTCTTGTAGTAGTAATAGCAATAACACCACCACAACTACAACAACAGCTATGAATACTGCTCGTAACACTATGATGAATGATAATGATTACAAAAATTTAATTCATAAAAGATTCCGTTTGAAAAGTCTGTTTAAACCACGTAAATCTACACAAAGCACTACTGACCAGTTGTATCTTAATGATAATAGTAATAATAGTACACGGAATTCAGCCAGTCGTAATGATGATTCTACCGGTACACCAAATTTTAGTCCATCAAGAACATCAAATTTCAATGTTAACAACAACAACAACGCTAACACTAATCCCCCGCCGTTAGGAGATTCCCTCTCCAAAGAATCATCTCAATTCGTCTCAGCTACGCTAATGTTAATTATCTTATCTTTTTATTTAATTGCATGTACTGTACCCGCAGGAATTGTATATCTTGTCCAATTTCAATTACCACATGCAGATGAATGCCTAAATGATGAGGGTGTACTGAATTCCCTTGAGTGGAATAGTATATTTCAACAATTATCTGCTAAAAAAATTGTCGATGCATTATGTGCATCACATTATGCATGTAATTTTTTCATTTATTTTCTCACATGTACCGGATTTCGGAAACAAGCCTTAAATATGATATTCAAGTGTCGTTTTAAACAGTCAAGATATTCACAATCAGATTTTGCGACAGAAACATTGATTTTATCTAGGCGTACAGCACCGAGAACGCTACGGCCTATTTCAGATAATGATATGATGATGGGTATGGAAACAAATCATAAAGCATTGCTGATTTATAATAATAATTCAAATTAAATGAACCGCGGGTAATTCATTGTTGATGTGTTTAAAACAGATAAACAAACTATACGTGAAAGATTCAATGAAATATTGTTCAATGTTTGTTAATTGTTTTATTGGTTTGTTTGTTCAATTTTTGATTATTATTATTTTTTACACATAACCATAAGTATAGTTATCGTTTCATATATGAAGACAGAAAAAATGTAATTTCCAGTGGTGCACATCATTCGTGTATACGAGACTGTATGTCTATGCCTCTTTTAGTTATCTCTCCTTATAAGCGCTTACCTACCGGCTCTTGTGATCATTGTCATTATGTTTGCCTGCCAACACATTCTCAATTTTGACATCAATCTAATTACTGTCATCATCCTTATTAGTAATAATAATAATAATGTGTTCATCGTGAAGTTATTACCTTTTATCGGCTTGTGCTTACCCTTTTTCCCTATTTTGTCTTTCATTCTGTTTGTGCGTGTGCGTGTGCGTGTGTGTTTCTGCGAACTTTGCATCTCTGTGTTCGTTCAGTGTACAAAACAAAATAACAGCAAATTTTCTTTCTCTCTCTCTTGGAGTCTTATTTTTTCTTTTTCTCCTTCTTCTTGTTCACTCATGTACAATAATCATAATTGTCTATCAATTTTTAATTAAAAATAATACTATGCTATGATTTGTATCGTATTTCTTCTTTTTCTTTGGGTACTTTGACTACTTATAAGTAGCTAAACTAGGTGATATTAGAAAAGTTGGCAAAGGTAAATTTTAGCACCGCTACCGACCAATCAGAGAATGACCTTAAACGCGCTAATCACATGAAGGAGGCAATTTTGTTTAAGGGAAACATATATTATAATGAAGGTTTTTGTATTTCCCAATGAATGAAAAACAAAACGATATTGTTGTGTCTACTGACGTTTCGCTATTTAATGCTGCTGTTAATAGCTTTATCAAAGTATTAATAAACCAGAATTTACAAAATCTCAGCATATATATAACAAAGAGTTAAGAGGTGAGAAAATAGACTACTTAGGTCAAGTTAAAGGGACATATTGAAAGTCAAAATAACAATGAAGATCACTAAACCAAATAACAAAGGTATTTGACACATCTGTTATGGTATCAAAACTAAGTTTACTAACTTGATCATCGTTCGTCAGTCTGGGGTCAAGTTGGTCAATTGGTAAAGATAACAAAACCATTATATGTAGATTGTTGGATTTGATCAGTGTATAAAATTATAAAACCAGTGTGTGTTTGCATAGTGAACTTGCATATCACATTCGTGTTGATTTTGTCACTTCATGTGGGAGGCGGGGAAGGTGTTGTAACCAGGTCAGATTCTGTTTTAGTCCATCATTCCTATTCAGGCAATTCGGATTCCACTTGATATGAAGTGCTTCTGATATTAGACGTTCTTTGTGATTTCTGAGGTTTTTCTGGATTATTTCAGTATTGTCAAAATCAATTTTGTGGCCTGATTCTATAGCGTGTAGACAAGCTTTGGCTTGCTGATGATTTTTCAAGTTTTTCTAGTTCAACCAGATTTCTCGGCGGTCGAACAGATGTGGCTCTATGGTGTTCATTTCTTCTGATTTTGATTTCTCGAGATGTTTGTTCGATGTATATCGCATCACATTCCAAGCATTTTATTTTATAGACACAATTAGATAGAGAATCTTTAGGGATCTGGTCTTTTATGTGGTTTTGTTATCTTAACCAATTGGCCAACATGACAATGAAAAATGCCCCCAGACAGACGAACGATGATCAAGTTAGTAAACTTTATTTTGATATCATAACAGATGTATCAAATACCTTTGTTATTTGGTTTAGTGATCTTCATTGTTATTTTGACTTTCAATATGTCCCTTTAACTTGACCTAAGTAGTCTATTTTCTCACCTCTTAACACTTTGTTATATATATGCTGAGATTTTGTAAATTCTGGTTTATTAATACTTTGATAAAGCTATTAACAGCAGCGTTAAATAGCGAAACGTCAGTAGACTCAACAATACCGTTTTGTTTTCCATTCATTGGGATATACAAAACCTTTATTATAATGAATATCATATACCCAATGCCCAAATTTTTTCAAACTGTTAAAAATGAACTTGGAAACATATATTTATGAAAAAAATGCATGAAAATGTGGCATGGGATACCTTTTTCTGACATATGGTAAAAATAACTCCCAGTTGAGCATAGGAGTATCAATTGAAAAGTTACGCCACACCCTATATATATATATATTCATAGGATGGATAGAACTTGAAAAGGGTGTGCAATTTTAAGATTAGTAGACAAATCGAATAAAATTTGATAGCATAGAATATAACGTTGTAAAAAAGAAGAATTGATTAAGAATGACAAGTGGAACAAGTGAAATAATACCGGGGACAGTTCAAAGTGAGAATAGTAATAGTAACAATTGACGTAATAAAGGAAGAGTATACAAATTGAATAGACAAAATGAAAAAATGGAAAAATTGGTAGAGCCGAAATATGATTAGGGATTACCATACTTTAGTATAGAGGGATAATGACCATAAAGTATGGTAATCCCTAATCATATTTTGGCTCTACCAATTTTTCATTTTTTTCATTTTGTCTATTCATTTTGTATACTTTTCCTATTACGTCAATTGTTACTATTACTGTTCTCACTTTGAACTGTCCCCGGTATTATTTCACTTGTTCCACTTGTCATTCTTAATCAATTCTTCTTTTTTGCAACGTTATATTCTATGCTATTAAATTTCACACAATATTACGTAACGTTTTTATTTTATTCGACTTGTCTACCCTTTCCAAGTTCTATCCATCCTATGAATTATTCTATATATGACATTAATTGTTTTGCCACTTGACATATATACATTCATCTAAATAACCATTAATGACATCCTTTTGAGAACCATTAATGGCCCTAATCTTGCTTTTTTTAACCTTCCCCTAAAGCCTTCTGTAGGATTGATGTGTATCCCTATAATGGGATCCACAAAATCATTAGGATGGTTCACTATGTGGTGAATATATCTAAGGAATGACAGGGAGTTATAACCTTTCCATTCATCTAAGTATACGATGATACCCAGTCCTCCTAATAACAAAGTAATTCTCTTTATTTTCCATAACGCGATATATCTGCAGTGCTGGTACCACTGAACTGTAGGATAGGAGACTATTTTCTCTATTTTAGGAGCTACACCTGTCACAGGCTGTTTTAAAATCTTGGTTAAGGAAATATAGGACCAAGCTAAAAATGTTCTTGCGAAATATCAAAATCATTAGCTTACCTTCCCTGACATTTGGCTCGAATCAAGCAGAATAGAACCTTCAATTTACGTGGATGAAACTCATTGGACCATTCAAGGTCATTCGCTGATTGGTAGTTAGTGGTGCTGAAAGTTTAATTTGGCTGATAATTAATAGTAACTGAATGACTATTTGGAGCATGATGAAATCAAGAAATCGAACTAATAAAGAAATATTTATTATTATTTATTATTGTTCCCTTGGGTTCCTAGTGGAACATCGGGCTTCAGCTGCACGTCTCTACTAGTTTCCGTCTTCTGCCATACTTTTCACCTGCATCCATATAAGTCCATACTGTTTCAGCTCCTCTTCACACGATATCCTCCATGTCACTCTTGAACGTCCCACTCGACGCTTCCCTTTTGGGTTCCACTCGAGCGATGGCCTGACGCGCGATGTCACCCAGCGGCCTCCTCAGCGAGTGTCCAATCCATCTCCACTTTCTCCTGCGTATTTGTTGCGCGATTCGTTCTTGTTTTCTTTGTTCCCATAGTTTCTTGTTTCTTGTGGTTCTTTCTGGGCATCTGATCTTCAGTATAGAGCGAAGAAAGCTGTTGATAAAGGTCTTCAACCTGTTGGAAATATTCTTTGTGACCCGCCAAGTTTCTGATCCGTATAGAAGAACTGACTGTCTTGATGTTTGTATTGAAAATCCGAATTTTGTTGTTGATGCTGAGTTGAGTGACGAAGATTTCCAAATTGGTTTCAGGTTTCTCGCCTTCCTGATTCTCGATTTGACATCCTCATCCGTTCCTCCTGTAGTTGAGACAATGCTCCCTAGATAAGTGAATGAAGTAACCTCTTTCAAATCCCTCCCGTTGATGGTGATTGGCGCTGGATGTTGTTGCTGTTGTTGTTGTTGGTTGGTTGGTTATTTTCATAACCTCCGTCTTGTCTATGTTCACCTGGAGTCCTGTCTTCTCTGGCTGCTTCTTCGACCAGTTTGTCGGTTTTCGCTTGTAAGTTTTCGATTTTGTGTGATATCAAACATAAATCATCCAGGTCTTCTAGTTTCTTCACGTCGGTCCAGGATATCCCTGTCTTCTCGTTTCCCACTGTCTGACGCATAATCCAGTCCACCACAATTAGGAATATCATTGGTGATAATAATCACCCTTGTCTGACTCCTGTGTTTACTCCAAACGCCTCGCTGAGTTTTCCGTTGTGGATCACTTGACATGTGCCGTTGTCGAGAAATATTACCAGTGAATAACTAAATTCCCACCGGAATTTATTCAGAAATGCATGAAGACCCATAGAAAAAGTGAGATTAATAATGAAAATGACAGAAATAACAAAAGAGATATATTAGAATTCAAAGTCTCTGTAGTACTGCCGTATGAAGAAGGAACGTCGAAGGCCTTACATAGGATTTTCAATAAGACTGGAATTATGGTAGCATTTAAAACAACCGACCAACCAATCAACCAACTCTCTCAGAGATAAATTTTATCAGCCCAAGGATTTAATAGATCCAGTTGAGATAAAAATACTATAATTTACCAAATACCATGTAATGATCGAAAGTGAACTCAGATACATAGGTCAAACTAGTAGATCGGGGTGGAGGGAGAAGTTAATCACTGAAATCGAAATGTTGTAACACCTATTTCGGATATATGAAAAACCGCAATGAAAAACGAGCGTGGGTGGAAGTACATAAAGCAGGTTACGAAACTGTTTACACATATTAACATGATTATTATTATTATTGTTTCCTTTAGTGCCTAGAGGAACATAGGGCTTCAGCCGCACGTCTTCATTGAGTTTGGTTCTCTGCCAACGTCTTCCCCTGCTTCCACGTCTGCCCACATGCTCTCATCTCCTCTTCACGTCACCTCCTCCATGTCAGCACACCCTCACACTGACGACCAAATCGCCGCCTCCCATTCGGGTTCCACTGGAGCGATGGCCTGGAGTGTGATGTGACTTACTTGATGGTTTGTTTTCTCAGAGTATGGCCAATCCACCACCATTTCTTCCTGTATATTTGTTGCACGATCGGTTCCTGATTGGTTCACTCATCACCAGAGATCCCTGTTGTTGATCCCTGTATGTTGATTAAAGTCTGTAGTTTGTTCGAAGTGCCCTTCGTGACGTGCCAAGTCTCTGATCCTTATAGTAGCACTGAATTCACTTCGCAGTTGAAAATCCGGATCTTATTTTTGATACTGAGTGCTGTTGACCTCCACATAGACTTAAGGGAAATGAAAGCTTGCCTTGCTTTCCCAATCTTCGCTCTGATATCCTCCTCAGTTCCGCCCGTAGTTGAAACGATGCTTCTCAGGTAGGTAAGTAGGCAGGTAGGTACAGGTAAAGGAGGTTGCTTCTTTCAGATTTCTCCCATTTAGTATCCTCAGTAGTAGCAGAGATATTTATGGACAGTTAGGAACGTTTAATCTTGCTATTTAG